CAGGCTGTGTCTGGAGATGGTGCCGGGAGCCGCAACCGCTTCTAATTTAGTCTATTCTTGAAACAAATCTTAATCTCATATACGAATTTAAGGCGAATTAGTTAATCATTAGGAGATAAAGTACATTTAAGTTGCATTCCTTTCTCGGCAGGAGCCGGGCTCATGCACGCGTCATGTGTCACTTTTATTGCATAATCGACTCGCTATCACAGATGTTCGGGCAACAGTCCGTTTTAAAACCAAACAGTCTGATTGACTTTATTCTGACAGACAAAGCCGTGACTGTGCGCTGGCGCGTGCACCTGGCTCCGAGTGTGCATGCGCGCGTGTGTACGTGGAAGGGAGCACACACTCCACTCGACAACACTGTCCAAATATTAGCACAGGCACTTCCCAAGACGGTTTATGCGAGTGTATTGTGAATGAACCAAAACAGAGTAAATTGATGCTGAAGGGGAAAAACGACATTGTCAACATTTTGCCTTTGGGCATCTAGATAAGCATTCAAGATGACACAACATCTCAGTATACTGTAATGTTAAAATGTACCCCCCCCAGGGATAAACAGAAACACATCTGAGATTTTCTATATGAGAACAATTAAACCGGAGATTAAAATATATAATTGCTGCAACATCTTCACTGGCAAAGATAAGCGGCCTTGTTGGTAATGACTTTTGTCCGAGATAAACAGCCTTTATCTACGGCCTTGGAAAAGCCTTGGAAACTGTTTAAATGAACCAGCAATCTAGTGAAAAACATTCACTGAGTGCTTGGCTAATGTAAACAGACAAATTACTGATGACCGGCTCAGCATCTAATTCCAAATGACCTTGCACAAAAAAATCTCTCTCTCTCTCATACTTTTGTATCATAGTACTGATATATTGCTTACAGGCAATCAAAGGATACATGTGGGTGTAGTAAGCTTAACCGCTCCATGTAATGAAGGTCCATCAAACCTGAAGAAAGCCAGAGATTGATGTGCCTGTCCTCTCCTAAGCTTTAATCTGATTGGTGATTTATTCTACAGTAGATTACAAATTATACTACTGCCACAGAAACATTTAGTTAAAACTGAAATTCAGGTGTGTTTCATTATTGTCAGGTAGTTCTACTCTTTATTGAAAGGAACTTCATTAAACTGTGTTGAAGATGCAGCTTTTTAAATTTATCAGTGTTTTCCTGTGTGTAAACCACATTAAGCCTCTTTAATTACTGAAAGGTACATAGCACGTTTATTTTTCCAAAGCATTCTTTGACATCAGTGGACAGTGGCTGGCTGCAGAGAGCTGACAGAAAATGAGAGGAGTGAGAAGTGATATGCAAACAAAGGTCCCCGGTTGGACTTGAAGGGGGGATGTTGCCATGTGTGGTGTGGTCGAGCATCATAAAACCTCAAAGGCCTCTCAGACACCACAGCAAAATATTTTTAAGAGTTCAATGTTGTCTTTCCCACCCTCACTTGTCAGTTTTTTTGACTTGCATGAACTAAAATTGGATTATTTTGTTACAAATTCAGAGACTCTAAATAGGAGAAACAACAAATACAGTGTATCACACTGTATTGGAAATAATTAGCATTGTCCCTTCTCAACTATAGCCTTGTAATGATCTTGGAAATCAGTTAATGTAATTTGAATAGTTTTTGTTTCAGTTTTGCAGTGGGGCACTTTATGTAATCCCATGAAAATATTATTTAATGACCTTGTGATTTAGCCAAACATTAGGTGCATTAGCAAGGTAAAGAGCTCTGTGAACATTACAGTATATTCCCTCTATAGTAGAGACTGTTCTTGATTCACTGTGGTGGTTTTGTTTAGCCTTAATGGTCTCAGGCATCTGATGCCAAAGCTGCGACATCTGAAAAGTACAGTTCACAAAGTTATTCCCACTCACATGAGGGAGCTGCCTACAATCGTCTCCCACTGACCCTTAAAAATCTGACTGGTCAAGTGCTTTGCTCAGGTGGAGCTGAGGAAACGAGGTGCGAGCTGTGCCTCTTCCTCTGCTTCTCAAACTACCAGCTCCCACTGCGTACCATGTATCATCTGCTGTCCATCAGGGGATCTTTCTTTTTTCAATTCCAAACTCTAATTACATAAGATTATTATGGTCCTTTGTCTTGTTGAAATATTTCTGTTGATGCTTCTCTCTGTTAACAAATCAGCCTTCTGGCACATACTTGTATCTCTTGACAGCTACATTGCCAACCAGAGCAGTTTCTCCTCTATCAACGACAAAGACCTGCACTACTACAAGAATCTCAGGAACCTGTGAGTCTTTATGGTTTATATTATAAAGAAAAACACTTCTGGGTTATTGTCAGTAGACAAATCAGCCAAAAAATAATGCTTTATGCAATTTTCTTTGTCATTTTTGTTGTCGTCCTGCCCAGGTAGAAGAACAGCTCAGCTTCTCTATACGAGACATATTGATTTACTCTGCTTTTACTGATAAGTCTCCCTCTTAGCTTAAGCAAATATATTGTCCAGGTCTGTTGCTTTAAAATTCTGCTGTGTTTATTGTCACACCCCAAGGTGTTTGTAGTTACTATATTTTAATATGCTCCCCTGTCTCATTTCATTTCTTAATCTAAACAAGAGCTTTCTACCCAGCAGCACTTTCTTACAACATAATAATCTGTTAAATAGACACTACCCTTTTAATTTCCCAGACAGTATTCTTTAGCGTAGACAGATTAATACAAAGCAGGCCGAACATTGCACATGTACTGTATATGCTTTTAATTATGGTCGGACCCAATGGGAGCAAAACTCTAAACACAGACAGGATGTGTTTGAGCCATAATCCACCACAACTGTCCTGTGTGTCTCAGGAACACACAGTTCCACTCTGTGCAGCCTTAATAGTTAGATCTTGACATCGATATGACAGCACTATTCCACAGTTTGAATATTTTGCAGTAATAATTTGTTGAAGCGCCAAGTTTTTAAAAGGTGAAATTAAAGTCTTTGCTCAGTACCATTCATTCTGGACAAGATCAGTCAGTCACAGAACATCATTTAAACAAGATTCATATCAAATAATTATGTTGTTTTATAGTCTCACCTCAGCTGATGAAGGGCACAAACTCCCTGGGCGCCTTGTTCTACCACCGCTGCTGAGTAAAAAATATTAAAGGCGCCTGACTCTTAAAACAGTTTTTATACATAAACAGATCCTATTTAGTTTCAGATTATTTTTGGTGACATAACTTGTTTAAATGCCAGCTCAAGGACAAAGTAGATAGTGGTAAATGGATTATTTCCATGTGGACGCCAACCTTTCTGTGTCTCTGTCAGTTACTTTTACAGTTATAACCACACAGACCTGTAACACATGCTTTAATAATGCCTTAATATCTGCTGACGTCAGTCCTCAGATGCTTCATTCAGGCCAATAATATCTATGCCCTATAAGTCCTAAATGTCCAGTTGTGGCTTGTGTAACATTGCTTAAACAAACATGCTTCATAATCATTTAGAAGTTGTGTATAATGTTAATAACTGTCTTTTCATACTTTATAGATCAGTAATAAGGCATTAATAATAGAATTTGTGTTGCCTGGATGTGAAAAAGGTCTTTTGAGCTGAAGTCAGACTTTTGCTGTTGTGGATTTATAATATAAATATAGTGCATAAAATATGTCCATCCATCCATCCATTATCTACACCGCTTGTCCTGAAGGGAAGGGGGCTGGAGCCAATCCTAGCTGACACTGGGTGAGAGGCGGGTTACACCCTGGATAGGGCCCCAGGCTATAACAGGGACAACCATACACACTCACACTCACTCCTACAGGCAATTTAAAGTCACCAGTAAACCTAATCTGCATGTCTTTGGACTGTGGGGGGAAGCTGGAGTACCTGGAGAGAACCCATGCAAGCACAGGGAGAACATGCAGACTCTAAAATATATACAATTAAATGAATACAGTAATGTTGACAATACTGTAAGTGCATTGCTCATGAAGATACCGATGATGCTGTTGTGTTTGTTTGTGCCAGAACGGTGACCAACAGCAGACTAACATATGTATCGAAGCTGGCCTTCCAGAATAACATCAAGCTGCAGTACCTGTAAGTAATAACCCTTCTCATTCAATCATAACATGTATATAATATTCCTCATATTGATGTCGCTCCTACTATATGGTTATTACTAATCACTTTTAGGGAAGAATTTCTTTCACTCAGTTGAGGTTAAAAACTCTTAAAATATGTCTTTTGAAATCTTTATTACAGTTTTAAACTCAGTAATTTAGTATATTACTTATGGTTTAAACTGACTGGTTATACAACAGAGAATAACTACCAGAAATGCATTGCTGAGCAACTGATTGGAAATGAAGTCCAGTTCATTCACACTGAACTGATCTAACTGACCATTTAAATGTAATGAAAGTTTGATTCCCATGATCCTTGTACTAATGTACCTTTAAGATTAATTGTCACAATCTTTAAAAGGGGAAACTTTTCATTACTATAGGCCTTTTGCAGGCAGAAGTCTACCTGTAGTTGCTGCTGACATCAACCTAACATTTTGCTGTGTGGTAGTACAAACATAATCTCATTCTTTGATGTTTACTTTAATTTCCAGGAATCTGAAAGATAACAACCTGTCATCGCTGTCCTGGAGGATCTTCAAACGTCTCAACATTTCGTATCTGTGAGTTGTGTCTCTCTGTCTGTTCCTGGTGCTCTCTCTGGCTTACATCATACACTGGAGATAAACACAGACCCACAGCGACAGCCATGACAGCTATAGATGTCTGATGTGATGGTTTTAAGCTTGGTGTTGGGTTTACTGCTGCCTGAAATCCTGCATTTTCCATGAACCAGAGAATTATTATTATTACTTAGCTTTAGGTAACAGGATGGAGACCAAGATTAGCTGAAGTGACACTTAAGGGCTTAGGGTAATTGGCTTTTACAGTGGTTTAGTGCAGTTCAATACTATTCGATAGATTGCTTTTTTTTTATTGAAAGATGGATTTGTTTTTGTCAAAATAAGCTCAATCACTTTCTTTCAAGAGTTAGATGAGAAGATTGATGTCACTTTCACATCTGTACATTAAATGCCACAGGAAGCCATTTAACTTTTCTTATCTTAAAGAGCCCATGGCATGCTCATTTCTCTCATTTCCAGCCATTTATTGTTTAATCTTTGCTACATCTAGATTAGCTTTGCACCCATCATAACTCCAAATAGTTTGTAATTATTTCAGAATGATAAAGCCAGAGATCCTCTTCCTAAAAACGGGAGGATAGCTCGTGAATATGCACAACTCCTGCTGCCGGTGTTGTGTCGAAATCCGTTTCCCTTTTCTGAATCCTAACATTAGCCTAACAACAACCAATATGTGGCGCGCTGCATGAAACTGAGTTTTAAACAGGGGAAGCACATCTTGACACAAGAAGCCAGGACAATACATAAAAAACATTGATAAATAAGTTACGTTTTCAACAATGACAATACATGTACATGAACATTCCTGGACATGCAGTAACCTCAGGCCCTGTATTTTCCTCCACATCCTCTGATCATTGTGCAGCAGCAGGAGGTAAAACATATCCACAAAACCGTGTGCAGTCGAAAAATTCTGCTTTTACAATGACACCGGTGGATGTCAGGCAAGCTCACATGAATGCACAACTGCCTGGACATTATGATCATTCAAGGAAATCTTTCAACTATCACATAAGACTTTATATTGTTAGAAAAAAAAGTCTTGCAAGCGCGAGTTTGGTCACATCTAAGATGAGAATTCACCGTTGTAACATTGTAGATAAGTCAGAAAACAAGGAAAAGCACCATGGGCTCTTTAAATACTCAGGGGAAGGCATCAAAACTAGCCTACTAAAACCATCTTTTTAAATCTGTACAAAAACAAGCATATAAAAATTATGTGTTGCTGTTTTAAGGGGTGTTATGTGCTGGATAATTTCTCAGCTGTGGGAATTGACTTTCTGGAGTCTCTGCTTGTTACCTCACAAGCTCATGGTGTTGACAAGTCTCTGGGGAGTTAACAGCATCTGGCCAAGAAATAGTTAGGCACATAAGACCCTTAGCATTTTTTTGCAGTGTTTATAACATGTATAATGTATAATGTATAATGTATAACACTATATAACATGTTAATTGAGTGATACTCAAAGGGTCTGGTAGATTTAGTTACGTACATTCAACAGAGCCAGGCTAGCTGTTGCCTCATACTTACAATTCAGCTATTGTTTCAAATATTCTGTTTCTCTCTCTCACTTTGCTGCTCACTGTTCTTGACATTCTTGACTGTGTGTGTGCACGCGCATAGGATCTTGTCAGGTAACCCTCTGCACTGCTCCTGTGAAAACATGTGGATCAAGCTGTGGTTAGGGGAGGAAGCAGACACTCAGGAGCTGTACTGCATTGAAGATGGAGGAGGACGCAAGCTGCTGTCCAGACTGACACTACCCAACTGTGGTGAGCAGATACACATACACGTCTGTTTTTTCTGTTGTGGGGACTTTGCACTGACTTAAATTCATTTCACGGAGATTTACCCCTTAAACTAACCTTAACTGTACACCAAGTCATGACCCTATATTCAGTGATTTACATGGTGGGGACCAGCAGCTTCGATCCCCACAATCTAAGTAATAGCAGGCATATATAAACTCACTTAGTAAGGAACTGGACAAGACATTTACAAGCAGGAGCACAGTGCAAAGTGTTGAAACACCTAGAAGAAACCTTGGTTTTGATTGTGTATACTATTGTGTATTTTGCTTGTGTGTGTGGCATGTGTTTGTAGGCAATTTTATAGTTGTGTGTGTATTTGGATAAATGTGCATGTGTACATACTGTATGCCTTATAAAAATGTGTTATTGCAAGAGAAGTGTGCTGAATGTTTTGTTGGTTCTCAGGGGAGATGTAGGCGATGAACAACTGGAGAAAGTAAAAGTAGTTTTTAAGACTGATAAGAATAACTGTGCCAAGAAGAAGATTCATGCATTTGGTAGAGCCACTGCAGTAATCAGCGCTATAAACATACATGATATGTGAACTTCCAGAGGCTACACTGAGTATACTGAACAAACTGCATTTCACTTACACTTCTATTTAGATGTATGTAATATCCCTATGTTGTGCAGTGCAAAAACTACAATAACTTATACATGAGCAAGTAAATAAATGACCAAATAAAAGCATGCATGCACACTTAGAGCCTTGCTAAAATGTAGTTTGGTATCTGCTGGGTGTGACACTAATTATCCATCCATCCATCCATCCATCCATCCATCTTCCGCTTATCCGGGACCGGGTCACGGGGGCAGCAGTTTAAGCAAAGATGCCCAGACTTCCCTCTCTCCAGACACTTCCTCCAGCTCCTCCGGGGGAATGCC